TCGACGGCTACCACTTCGAACACTGGCTCGTCGTCATGGAGAAGCCCGAAGGCGACCCCACCCGCGACGAAATCATCGATTCCTACATCAAAACTTTGGCCAAGGTTATCGGAAGGTAACAAAATAACATTAAAAAAAACCCTCTTTTTTTTTTTATCCATCATACCTAGCCTCTTCAGGACAATAAATTAACAAGTAAAAATGAAATAATTTGCCTTGTGTATAAGCTAATTCTCCTATTAGTTTTTTCAAGAATTTTTATTTTTAACATAAATTAGTTTTAGCTCTTTATTTTTATTTGCCCTAGTGGCTTAATTAAAATTAAGCTCTTATTGTATGATAAGGTGAACCTAGATGGGCTATGTAGAAGCTATTGGAGGTGCATCCCTTAGGTGGTTGTGTGTTTTGGATTTTGATTATTTAGTGTGGTTGGTTTGGTTTTTGCAGTGAAGAGGAAGCCCGGATGAAGATATATTCTGTTTCGACTAGGCACTACTTTGCGTTTGGTGCGCTTGTGTCTGAAGAGCTTTCTTACAAGATTAAAGGTATATGTTGTTTTTGAGCTTTAAGTGTTTTGCATGTGTTTTGTGCTAGTGAGGGTTTATTCAGTTTGTGGTTTTTTTGGGAAATGCAGAATTGCCGGGAGTTCGGTGGGTGCTTCCTGATTCTTATTTGAATGTCAAGGAGAAGGATTATGGAGGTACAATTTCTTGTTATGTCACCGTGCTTTATTGTAGAATTAATGTTTGAGGTATGGCTGTTCTTGACTGTGCGTGCTTTTAGCTGTTTGTAAAGGGAATATCATGTTCGGGGCTCATTGAATGTTTTTGGATAGCATAAGCATAGCATGGCATGTTGTGATTCTTGGGTTCTGTTTTATAATTGGGTTTAGAATATAAACTTGATGGGGTATTATTAATGTGACCTTGTGTTTTGTGAACTTTTATGTGTCCCTGAGCAGGTGAGCCCTTTATTAATGGGCAAGCGGTTCCTTATGATCCCAAATATCATGAGGAGTGGGTTAGAAACAATGCTCGGGCTAATGAAAGAAACAGGCGCAATGACAGGCCTCGAAATGCTGACAGGTCAAGGAACTTTGACAGGAGGAGGGAGAATGTGGTGAACAGAGACATGCAGGGTAGACCTCCTATGCCTGGCGGTCCTCCAAGCAATGCAGGTGGTTTCCCTCCAAATAATGCAGGTGGATATGGACCTCCAGGCAACATGGGTGGGCCCCCTCCCAGCAACCCGGGTGGATATCCTCCTAACAATGCCGGTGGGTATGCCCCTCCCAATGCAGGTGGATATGCCCCTCCCAATGCAGGTGGGTATGCCCCTCCCAATGCAGGTGGATATGCTCCACCCAATGCAGGTGGATATGCTCCTAACACGAGTGGTGGCTATGGTCCAGGGGGTGGTGTGCCACAGAATAACTACCCTGGCAGCATGGGAGGGGTGCCACCAAACCAGAACACGGGAGGGTATCCGAATGGAGGATGGTCAAATAATGCTCCCAATAGAGACGTGCAAAACAGGGATATGGGAGGAGCACCTGGTGGGAACCCGTATACTGCGTGAGATCTCTGCAGATTTTTCAAGCTGTTGTAGATAACGAAGAATTGTGTCCTAAGAAAACATAGAGTTTATGCCATGTTTCTCAAGGAATTAGAATTTGTTAGTCTTACGTGGTTGTTACTTCTTATTTCTAATGAACCTGCGTATTGTGTATCTGAAGTTCACAATTTTTGAAGGCTAGATACGATGGTTATATTTGTGGGGTTGACTGTCTAGTTTGTTATATGATTGAGGTTGCCTTGCAGACCTATATAACTGTTGGACTGCTGGTAATAATACATGTTTAGGGTTGTAGTTTATTTAAAAAAGGTTTCCCTCGTAATTAAATCGACTCTTCATATTTTCATGTTATTATAAGCACCAACAGGTAAGGATATTGGTGGAGAGAAGCTCTGCGGTAGCTTTTGACCCCTCTATCTTTTGCTATCTTTTGCTTTTGATTTTATTTACTTACGATGGAAATCAAGGTTCCGTGGGGGATGATATGATGGTGGGTGAACGAACTTGTAGAACTGGCAGCAGGAATGTTTTGTTCTTGAGTGACAGCATTTCACAGGTGGGTATGAAAGATTGTAGGATTAACTTGAGGTGTGCAGATTAAATTTTCTTTTTATTTAAAATCCTTGATCAACTAATGAACATGTTACCATTAATTGAATTCATTTTTATCATGTTACTTTGGATGTAAAATCACTACTTCATTAGAGAAAAGTCAATAAAAGTGTCTTTTCATATTATATATTATAGCTGAAATTTATTAAAACTAGTGGAATTTTCTTAAATGTCTTATTTTAAGTAAGTTTTAACCACAAATAAAAAACGCATTTAAAAAATACGATAAAAATAATGTTTCTGGTGATCATCTTCTAAACCATTTTCCGGGGAAGGCAGGGTTTGGTGGTCTGTTTGGGAATGCTTTATACAAGGTTTCTGTCAGTATCGAAAACTATACTGTTCTTCACGCTGAGATTATGGTCTTGTACTGTATCAGAGGGTAATCTGGTGAAAAAGAGGAGTTTCTGTTTTTCACAAGTATGCGAATGAATTCATTGACAGGGACTGATACTAGGTAAGACTCAATTATTTCTGTTTATCTTTTCAAAGTAAAACAATGACATTGTGATGTGATAATTGCCAACCAAGACTCAAACAGTGATATTAAAGTTGCAACACTTGCTTTAAATTCTAAGGCGGAAGTATTTATAAGAAAAGAAATGAAAATTAGGTGATAGGAGTGAACTGAAAAAGAAACAGTTAAAAATTATAAATAAAAAAGATATATGATCAAATTTAAACTTACATATACTGGGTCATTTTCTTAATTGCTTATGTATAAAATTAAAATGTACAAAAGGTCCCTTAATCGATTGTACACAAATTTTGATAAATAGTTAACATCAAGTAAAAGGACAAAAGAATTTTTGTACCAAAGAAAAAAAAAAAAAACAAAAAGAGGACAGAATAATTCTATATATTTCTTAATATTTAAAATGTTAAAGAAATAAAAGTATTTTTTTTAAAAAAGTGTTATAAATGCCTTACATTATGACTTTGTTAATATATTCTTATTGTAACTTTTAATAATTGTTTTTCATTTACTAAGGCTAAATTTATTTATTTTTCTCCCTGGTAACATTTCTTTTTCACGATAAATAAAATCATATAGTTTATTGTCTTCAACAATAATTTGTAAATCTAAAAATTAAAAAATGTAAAGTATTTTTACGGTTATGCATCACAAATCCGTATGTTAATTGTATTACTTTTTACAACAACTAATAAACTATTTTAAAAATTACATTAACGAAAACTATCATTAATATAAATATCCCAATATTTATTTATATATTTCAGCTTGAAGTTGAAGTTGGAACGCTTATCGTGCAGTTTCGCCTCACTCACACTGCAACTCCGAACATGCTTAACAATGGCGTGTGCAGTCTCCGCACGTGCCTCCGTTTCCCGGAGAGTCCCCTATTCCTAGCTCCGCCGCGCTCGTTCTGTTGCCGGCGGCGGTTTTTGGTTGCTGCATCCGAGGCCAAGAAGAAAGAGAAGGTGATTGTGATTTCTGGACCCACCGGTTCCGGCAAGAGCCGCCTCGCATTGGAACTCGCGAAGCGCCTCAACGGAGAAATCGTCAGTGCCGATTCCGTTCAGGTAATATGCAGATTAAAACCAACAAACGAACTCACATTTTCCTCGCCTTCTTCTCGTGTTTTTGCGTTGCGAATGAGGTGGTAGTGATTCTCGTAGGGTTTTAGGGTTTGTGATTTTAGTTTCCGGGGTTCGCACTCTCCATGAAACTTGTTGTCTAGCCAAATTGTGGATAATTAAGGTTCTATGATAATAGACTTTACTTGATGAAGAATAAAATAGGAAAATAAATTAGCTTATCCATGAATTAACATTTGGTTATGTTATCCAGTTCCGAATGAGCAGCTGTATTAAATATTTGATGAGAGGACTTTGCCGCGATACTATGAACATGGTTGGATATAAGTCTATTATCACTTTTAAGTGTTTTTCTACCGAAAAATATTCTTAATTTGCAATAGAGAAGCCCTTAGAAGTTCTTATAGATTATATCCAAATAGGCTTTATATACGACTCGAACAGGATAGCTTCCTGTGGATGATATTTATTGTCTATAAAAGAATCTGCTAGCTCATTCATAAGTTAATTTGTAGAAACTCTTTATATTAGTTTTTGCAAAAACTTATCTTTTAACTTATTTCAAGTTAATTTTAGCTTACGAAAAAATTATTTTATTTTATTTTTCAATAAGTGATTTTAGAAGTTTATTTAAACCGAGATTAAGTTTGTTTAGCTGCTGATAAATTATTATTATTATTATTATTATTATTATTATTATTATTATTTATTATTATTATTTCACGAGGAAAGGTATTTTTGTTTTTATTTGTTGCTGGGCAGTATTTTGCAAAGTGAGAAATCAGTTATGTATATGGTACAGGGTCGATTTTTCATGAAAATACTATGAAAGTTGAAGCGATTCTTCTCTTTGAATCAGAAATTGTATATCTTGTAATTGAACGAGTTTTGTTGTTTTCTTTATGAATTTAATTGGAATACATCAACGGTGTAAGATTTTTTTACACCGTTATCCTATTATAAATTGTCATGTAATTGGAAATTGTTGATTTATGTAATAATTACTTTAAAAGTTACATATAAGGTGATTTTTAATCGATTGAGCCATACAAATTTCTGTACTAATAGTGCATTAAAATTAAACTTTCTTTAATTAAAATGGCTTCTATTGTACCACAGGTGTATCGGGGTCTTGATGTTGGATCTGCAAAGCCTTCCCCAAACGAAAGAAAGGTGTGTGATTGTGATTTAATGCATTGGTTTACTTAGTCTCTGTTATAGGTTTTTGGATTTCCTATTTTGCTTGATTAATCATGTTTGGAACCTTTAATTTTAGTTTATTTACTTCCGTTTTGTATGCTTTTCTTGTTAGGAGGTACCGCATCATCTGGTTGATATCCTGCACCCATCTGAAGGTGTGTTATGTTGGACTGAGCTATATTTGTTTACAATAAGTAAATTGATAATACACGATTATCTACGCATCTTTGAAGCATGAACTTTAACATGGAAAACAAACACTCCGATATGGCTAATATCCAAAATATTAAGATACCCCATAACAAATGAAATGAAATGTGAGCAATATAAATACATTATAAAAAAGATCAAAATTGATAAACAATATTTTTATATTCTTTATATTCACCTCTTGTCTATGATGGGCCTCTCAAGAAAATATTAAGAGACATTAATTTATTTTACAATGTAAGCACTTACAAAAAAAAAAAAAAACTCAAAATAAGAAGATGAAATTATATCTTTCAAGAAAGGTGTATTCAACTTCTTAAACCAACATGCTAAGTTTTTCAATTTTTCTATGACGTATCGGGTCTCAAAAAAAAAATAAAAATGAGAGACATTATTTTTTAATAATATATATTGTATTTCAAGCTGACTTTTCTAAAAGTTAAAAAAAAAAAGATTTTTATAGTAATCCTAGTGTGTCTCCATCCTTTTGAAGGACTTGACTCAAGTGTCTAAGCCATATAGAGGTTTCAACTCAAACACTTGAGCTGACAAAAATAATAAATTAATTGGACAGCTAATCCAGCACATGTCAGAGATGTGTTCATGTCGAAAATGTGTTCAACAATGTGAATTTGTGACACTTCAAATAGGAGGGTGTTTGTGCTTCGTAGTTCCTTATTGATTTTTCTGTTGGAACTTTGAAGAACTTTTTTTCACCAATTAAAACTAATTATTATTTATCAGATTATTCTGTTGGGCAGTTTTTTGAGGATGGGAGGCAAGCTACAAGAGGTATTCTTGACAAAGGCCGTGTTCCCATAGTTGTCGGGGGCACTGGATTGTATTTAAGATGGTATGTCTTTTGCAGTTACTTATTCTTTCCAATGGAATTATGGAACTCCTTAATTGTGGCATAGTGGTTGTATCATGTATCTATAACAAGTTAACAAAACATAAATAGGAAATGAAATCCATTTTCTTGTTTCCACAAGCTGCTAATCAAGTTATTCATTATCATTAGTAATCTCACAGCTATTTATATCCTTAATAAAAGAGAAAATAAACAGCGGTAGAAGTAGCATGGTTGGTCATTAAGATTTTGGAAAAATAATCTAATATCAGGAAAAAGTGATGCAGACTTGGTTTTCTGAGTGTTTCACTGTTGCATAATTTTTTAAAGGATGTGAATATACTTGCATTATGTTGCGGTAAACAGGTAATTTACTAATTATTGTTAATGTTCAGTTTGCATTAGGGTAAGCAACTAAAGGTCCTAGTCCTACTAGTTAGGCAGAATATAATAAACTTCTGTCAAATATAGGAAGGTGTATGGGCATCCACTGTATTAGTGAATTATCAGGGTTTTATTTACACCATTATTGAATTTATTTTCTTTAAGTTGTTGATCAGCTTATGCGGGACACTAGCTATGAGTTCTGTTTGAATTTTGAAATACAAGGTTCATATATGGAAAGCCAGATGTACCTAAAGCCTCTCCAGAGATTACATCTGAAGCACATCATGAGTTAGCTGAACTACAGAGGAAGGAAGACTGGGATACAGCTGTGCAATTGGTGGTTAAAGCTGGTGATCCAAAAGCCCAATTTCTAACAGTGAATGATTGGTACCGATTACGGCGTAGCCTAGAGATTATTAAGGTATGCTTGCAATTTTTCAAGTCACCATATGCAACTCTAAATTCTATCCTGGCTACTAACCTTATTGAAAGATCAAAGAAAACTCTTAATGTTGACATTTTAATATCCTTTCTTGATCTGTCTTTTTTCTCTTTCATTTGTTGCTCATTGGTGCAAGTATGAATTCCAACCACTATGCAAAATATCCGAAGTTTAGTTTTTTCACCTGCAATGTGGTTGTGGTGTTATTATCTCTTTTATATGTGCTTAATTGTAACCAATCGATTACTATAACTGTATATACCTATATTTTTCTGTGAATGTATATCTGAAATGCATGATTTCCATGGTTTACTAAATTGTCTGAAATATATTTATAATTCACCATTTATTTATACTTTTTTGGAATGGCAGTCTAGTGGATCACCTCCTTCTGCTTTTCGGGTACCATATGATTCTTTCAGGGAACAGGGTGAATATAGTGTTGGTGATGGTTCTGAGTCATCTGATAAGAACACTTATGGTGATGCAGTGGAAGAAACCAATTCATCAGAGTTAGACTACGAGTTTATATGTTTTTTCCTTTCTAGCCAAAGACTTGACCTCTATAAATCAATTGATTTTCGATGTGAAGATATGCTATTAGGTATATCCTGAAATGGAAACACTCAATTTGTATATGAATTATATACATTTTATTGAACATTATTCTGTTTGTGTTTGCATGGGCACTGCACAGACCCATTCGTTTTTTTCTGTTATAACAATACATGCCATGCTCTCGTCAATAGGTCATGAATATTTGATTACAATAAATCTCTTGGTTTTCATTTGAATGCAGGAAGGGATGGGATTTTGTCCGAGGCTCAATGGCTTCTTGATATGGGTCTTCATCCAAACTCCAATTCTGCAACAAAAGCAATTGGTTACAGACAAGTATACCTTTTTATTTTCTATATTTATATTTCACTGTTACTATCTGAAAATTTCAAATGAGGAAATAGGTCTGGTTGAACGATCTGTATATTGTGTAGCGCTATAAGTTCTTTATGCTTTAAGAAATATGTTTGGTCGAACATTCTCCCCATTTTTAATGTTCTCTGTATATAGTTGAAAACTGGGTCTATATTTTAATTATATATTAGGCATTAGCAATGTAAAATAGTTGATGGCCTATAGGATTCGTGTGTATTGAGTTGGTCATTGTATTTTCTATATAAATAGTTGGAATGATTTTACTTTATTTTGTGTATGTGATTCACAAATATCAGGCAATGGAGTACTTACTAAACTGCAGAGAGCAAGGGGGTGAAAGTTCTGTCCGAGAATTTTACAAATTCTTGTCTGAGTTTCAAAAAGCATCACGGTAATGCATTTTTTTTTCTTCATAAAATAAAGGTAGTAGAGAATTTGTAATTTTCATTGGTTATTCACTTAAAATCTTTTTTATATATCAAAAGTTAATCTTTTTCTTTCTATTTTTTTTAAATGAATTTTGTAGTAAATCTTTGTTACCTTTATGTTTCTACTGGTAAAGAATTATTCTATAAAGCAGATGTTTCCTTTTTCTTATTTCCCCCGGAGACTGTTGTCCGGTATGGTTTGTTTTGAGTTGCGACTTATTTGTTTTATAGTTTAAAAATTGGATTAAATGAGAATTCTAGATTGTGAAGCATGTTCTTTCATCGAGTTTGAGAACTTTTATGACCATGCGAGGAGAGGATCCTCTCTCTCTCTCTCATGTCTAACAACCTATTGAGCTGACTTGGACCAACAATTGAAATATAGCCGGAGGAAGCACTGTTTCAATTCTCAATGCTGCCTCTTCTAGGAAGTTTTCCATGCTGTTTTGATGCAAATTTTGTAATTTTGATCAAATTCTCCAAAACATTGATTGGAATTTTTGGTTTATGTTCTGAATATTGTTGTTGTATTTATTCTTTTCTTAAATGGCATCAGTAATTATAGAGATTTCCTTCTGTATTTTCAAACCTGCTTGACTCTAAGCTTGCAATTACAATGGATCCCCCCCCCCCCCCTCCTCATAAATAAATAATAAAAAAATGAATTACACAGAAAAGGGGAAAAGTACAGCTATGATAAGTTATCCTGCAACACAGAAAGGGCAAGATATATTTATGTGAGCTTGACCTTATGTTTTCCCTAGTCAACGAATGGTAATGTTTAAAGTGTACTGATAAGGTGCTTAATTGGACATTGAATATATCCTTATCCCAGCTTGATGTCTTTAAGTTTTAATTAAAAAAGAGAATTATTTAAATTGAAGGTTTATATAATTAAATGCCAAGCTTGACAACATGTACAGTGGAAGTTGTCCGCATGATATTACATAAAAATTATGTTCAGCTTAAAATATGTTCTGCAAGAAAATACAACTATGATTCATGACCTTCCAAAATACAGTCCTGTATTCTGATAACAATTTTTAGGCAAGTTGATTAATTTCTTGTTTAGATCGCTTGTTCTGTTTTAAAAACTGGTATAACGTATTAATTAGTATTCTGTATTTGTTGTTGTTTAAAAGCTTTCCTTGATCAGCTTCAATCTATCTTAGGTCAAGGATGGAAGCTTGTGCCTCGCCATTTTGTGTTTGGAACATGTATCTGATTATTGGACTACTATTTTGACGTAGTTAAGTTAGATTATTACCATCCTTAATACCTAGAAAATGATGCTAGTACGTTGAACATAATTTTTAGGAAACAATCTGTAGTACCGGAAGTACTATCCCACCAAATGCATCACAATGTTAGCTCTGCTGTTGTTTGGTATTTTGTTTTTCGTGGACTTTGTATTTTTTTTTTGTCTCCGATGCTTGCCATGTTTTGTTGGTAACGAACACAAGTGTAATTGGGTTATTTAGCAATGTTCTTTTTGATACTTCTGTGCAGGAATTTTGCAAAAAGGCAGTTGACATGGTTTCGCAATGAACATATATACCACTGGCTTGATGCTTCTAAATCTATGGTACAATTGAATCTTTTGTCAGTGACTGTTACCTTTTACACATCCAACCATCTCTTGTAATTTCTTTATTATATTAATACCAAACTAAATCCGACAACCATCTCTTGTAATTTCTTTATTATATTAATACCAAACTAAATCCGACAAGCTTGTGATCTCTTGCCAATTTTAGAAAGGGTAAAATATGTTTTTGGACCTTCGTTTTTCAAATTTAGTTATAGTCCTCCCCAAATTTTTGTTTTATTTTCGTTCCTCTAATTTGAAAATACTTCATTTTTTATCTCTAAGTTGTTGTTATTAAAACATTTAATGGTAGTTATAAACTGCCACAAAATACACATTGAGGATCAAAAGTGACATTTTTCCATATTAGAGGGACAAAGGACAACTCATTTGAAGGACTAAAATCGAATTTGAAAAATTTTAGAGGGACTAAAAATATATTTTATCCTTTTAGAAATAATAAAAACCACAATTTTTTTTTAAGATAAAAAAAACCACTAAAAACTAATGTCTCAGATTCTCCTTCCTCCTATATAGTATATACTGTCTCTGAACTTATACATAATTATTGCTTATATTTCAGTTTAAGAAATTTAAGTATTTTTTTTTTCCTTATATATAGGTTCAATGGGAGTACTAACAACTCTACCTGCTTTTTACTTGTAAGAATGTTTTAAAAAAAATTGGTTCACTGTCACACTAGCAATGTGGATTTCATTGCTAGTACCTTTTATTTTAAAGGGTTTCAAGAAGCTGTTTATTATAGTCCTTTTATTAAACTTAAGAAATGGTTTTCTTCTGTATTTATTTTTTTATTTTTTAACTTTTTTAAGGAAAATGTTTATTGTTCAGTTTCTCAATTCATTCTTTGGTTTATTTATCTTATGTATGCTGATTCTGAAATGAACTACTCGTGCCAGGAAACCATTCTCAACTTCATCCATGGTGCATACCATGATTGGAATGGAAGTCTTCTTGTGCCTGAACACCTAAGAATGTCTAGAGATATTTCTAATCGCAAAGAAGCCACACAAATTAAGTCTTACCGCACCAAAAATAGGTACTTTTTTTAGGGCTACAGAATGTAGGGACATATTTATTAAGTCATAATCATATTTATTGATTATATTCCTTGCTGTTCAGAGATTAAGCTGTTGTTTTCTTATGAAGGCATTTTGTGAACGGGGAAGATTGTTCTCCTATTCTGAACTGGATAAAGAAGACTCAGAGGTGAAGGGATGAATTTATTATTATTTTTTTTCATTCCCTTGTACTGGCCTTAAATTTGAAATTACAGAGGAATCTAACTAAAATTTTCAGGTTATAGAGAAAGTTTTGTTTTTATTGCCGTTTTTTTTGTTACATCCTTTGGTCAGCTATAATGTGATATCTTAATCTTATTGATAGAATGCTGTAACAACAGCTGAACTTGTAAGCTAGTAATTTCGTTCTTCCCTTTAACTTGCAAGCCAGGAACTTTGCTGATTTTACTTTTTATTGAAGTTTAATGAATTTTTAAGCATTCATTGAACTCAATTTTTTCTTTTTGGTACCCATGCATGAAGTATCTATCGGTTTCATTGATGACTAATTTTCGTTAGAGAATTTAGCTGGTCACCTTTTTGTAACGGGTTCTCCCCTTCTAACTATTTTTTTATACACAAAATTCGAATTTGAGACCTTACTCAAAGGAATCCTTAAGGAAATTGGGATTAATGTCACTCGAATCAACTTGTTGGTATATTCATTGAACTTGATTTATGTTGGGAAGTATTCTTTTATTTTTTTTAATTTTTCTTTTATTGCATTACCTTCTATTTCTTTTAAATATAGACACAATGTGGTTTGGCTATATTTAAATATTTAATTTTGGGGATGTTACAAATTTTTGTAGTGGATTAAGTGTATTGATTTGAATCATTTGTATAAAAAAAAATTTAGAATTTGATATATCAAATAAATAGAACTTGATATACAAAATATATTGTTATTTTATATTTATTCATTTGTAACATTGCTGGTCCACTTTACTGTTGCTTTTCAATCCCATTTATTTTAACCTTGTTGAACGACATTGAAATGCCTGATGACCCATTGCTGTACGATAAGACAAAAGAAACAAATGGTTGAAAATTTTGTGACCCACTTAAAAGTTAAAAGTGAAGAGCACCAGAAACTCTTATTAGCATCACGTACTATATGGTATTATAACATTAGTTGCTCTCCAACGATACGAATATGCTATTTGTGTCGTTTTTTCGGTTACTTTTCAACAGCAACCGCTTATGGACTCACTCTAAGTGCATCACTAATTCTATTGATTCCATACATATAAACAAGTAGGTGATGTTGGTCAAACGTTTCCATGATAATGTCAATGTGAAAAGAAACATATTGTAAATGAATCTCCGTCGAATAAAAATAATTACTCTCTTCCTTTCATATATGAGGTCTTAAGTGTTAATCTTGGTTTAACTATTATATTAAAAAAATTGACATTTGCTCTAGTAAAAACAAACTGAAAATTTCATTATTGTAATAAAATTTTGTGCTTGCTTACAGATGCAAGAAAAACAAGTCAAGAAAATTAATCAACAATATTCTTATTCTGAAATAAACTAGTGATAAAGAGTAATATAAAGATTAGTCACTTGGGCCAAAGTTTCCATGGCAAGCAATAGTGTGGTAGCACTAGTGGTGTTGAGGATCTGGTCCAGCAGGTGATAATCTCTGCAATCTCCCTTCAAACATTGACCTTTTGTTGTGAAGCTCTCTAATTCTCACATTGATAACCATGTCACGTAAAAGTTGTTCACTGTTAATCTTTTTAGTCGTCATGGTGGAGAACTTAGGTAAAATTCTTGCCTCAGAACTCACAACAACAAATGGAGTAATAATTAGAAAGAGAACAAACACTCTTGACATGGTTGAAGTAGCCATGGTCTTACAAGAACTCAAATTATAGCAAGAAAACAAGTAGCTCTCAAAAGCCTATTTGTATGTATAATAGTGTGAGTGAAGTAGCTAAGAAGATAGCAAGAGAAGCCTATTTATACACATCTTAATTCCAATTTCATGAGTTCTATCGGAAGTTAGATAATTTAATCAAAGTAATAGAGGTGGTACACTTGTCTTTGTCTCTCTGGGTTCCTTCTGCATGCTTATCAAGTGCAATTTGTTGCTCTAAATCACAAATGTATAATTAATGTTAAAACCTATGGGATGAGCTTAATCTGGTCGGTTCATTCTCTCTTTAGACGTAAATGATAGTCTATGCCGACCAAACCGATTCATCTTGTGTTGTCCTCTTCATCTAAAACCTTATATTATTGGTTAAATTGATAAGAAGTAAAGGACAAAATTCCCTCTACACCAAATGAAAATCCTTTGATGAAAATGCTTATGCTCCAGTCACATGGCCACAACTATTTCCAAAAACAAAAGAAAACCACATGGCCACGTTAGAAATGGTTTAATCCAACAAACTGCTTACAGGGCTTAATGGCTTATATGTGGTCTTTGCCTTGCTAGAATTCATCATATGTCATAGGATTCGTCTAAGACATAATCCAATCCATGGTGTATAAAAAAAATAGTCCATAAAAGAAATTCCTTCTGTCATTAGCGAGTCGTCCCTTGAGTTTCCGAACGAAAAATGGGATGCGGCCAATGACAAAAAGCTTGAAAATTGACCTTTTCAAGATGTCCCCAGTCAGCTTTCAACAAAGTCATAATAGAATATTTCCTTTGTTTGGATCTTTTGTTGACTTACATTACACGAGTTATTTAATAATTTCATGCATAAGTATTTTCATTTAATAAACATATTTAATGCATATTTAAATTAATTTATACTTCCCACCAAAGGTGTAGATTAATTTTTATCTTGTTCTTTCTAAAATTTGCAAATACTCCTAAGATGATGATGATGTCTTGGTTATTCCAATATCCATGGTGGTGGAGAACATCTGCAAAAAACACTTCAACACTTAAGTTAAAGGAGAATTTAGGTTAAAAATGAGGTTAAGGTTAGAGTGATACTTGACACTCCATATATAGGTGATTGATTTTGCCTCTAGGCTTAAAGATAATGTTACACGATTTTAAAGGATATTCTTGTTGATAAACATAGATATTGTTCTTGATAATGTGATTTCTGATTCTAGGATATATGATATATTGAGATAATGTATAATATTTTAAAGATATATTCTAGTGATTGTATGAAGATACTATCTATGATAAGTAAAGATATTTTTGTAGCCATTGGGGATGATCCATCTAAGGTTTTACTTTGTGGTATTGATGGGTTGGTGGACCTAGAATGAGTGAGCTTGTGCCCGAGGTCAACTCGACTTGATAGAGTTGAATAGTACATAAGTCCCCCAAACGCAAAACTTGTTAGAGTGAAGGGGTTATGGGTGAGGTCATACTGAGCTCTTTCATTTAAGTTGGGTGTGATGTCAACTCAGTTTGTTCAAGCTGAGCGATACACAACCCTCAAGCTTTTGGTCCTTTAGGGTGTAGGAGTTAGGACTATCTGTCTTTCTTTTTCTATTGACTATGTTGGCGGTGTATGGTTAACTAATGCCTTTTTGTTGACAATTTTCTATGTGCCTTAATGGGTAATAAATGCTTTATTGTGCCAAAAATATATGGGTCATTGACTAGGAATTGATTATGAGTGTCGACCATTAATTTGTAAGAGGCAAGTAGTGATTATCTATGTTCCCATTAATAAGGGTGACTATTATTTCTTCATTTTTTCCTACATCTTCTAACATTTGATTTTTTTTTGTCTTGCCTTCTACTTTGTCTTCAAGATGTGGGAGATTTTAGGTATTTCTCTTCTCCTTTACCACTCTTTTTGAAAATAAAACAAGGCAAAATGCTTTATCGTTTGCTATTTTTAACATTGTCTATGTAGAGTGACTCTACCAAGACTGCTTTGAACTTTTCTAGTGAGGGTTAAAGGTGTCAAAATGAGCCAAACTTGGTAGGTTAGCTCAACTTGTCATAGGTCTAGTTTGGGCTAGGTTACAAAAAAATATATATATACCAAATTCCAAGCTAGCTCAATTAATCCGTGAGCTGACCAGGTTTGAGTCTAAGTGAGTTGAGTTGACCCGTTTAACCCACTATTAAAAAAATATATGTTTATGTTTTATGTAGTTTTTATTTGAAATTTTGAGTGATATTTTCTTATGTATTTGCATTTGAATCAATAATAGAATTAATTTTTTGATATAAAAAAATTATAACCCTAAGCCCTAAACATGTAATAAGATTTTTTGTTTTTTAATTTTTTTTATAAAAAATTTGGTGAGTCAACCCACTTAACCCACCAACCTATGGTGGGTTAAATCGGGTTGGAATTTTTCTGGCTTACTAGGAAATGAGTTGGGTTAGGTTGACCCATTTAAAACATCAATCCGTGTAAACCGAGTTGGCTCACTTTGATACCTTTGATGAGGGTGTTGTTGATGGTATGTGTTTGCAGACTATCCTTGTCTTGAGGGTGACCACATGTATTTGAATCTTTGGATCTTGATGATATAATTCATTATTTGTGTAGATCAGTTAGAGGAACAAGATGTGGAAATAAGGGGAGTCTTAACCCAAGGTTGATGACGACAAGCAAGGGCCAATTGTCATGTCGCTTACAACAATGTCAAGGGGTGTCAGTTTAGCTCAAGGGGAGGAAAGTGCGTTGATGGCAGAAATTAGGCTGTTGTGGGCTAAGTTGAATGCTAGTTTGTCGGAAAGGGCTACATTGGCGGTTACGTGTGCTCGTCTTGACAATGTAAAGGAAAGGTTGGTTGGCAAGAGGTGATTCGTAAGGAAGAGGACAAATGCCTTTACTACTAGGGTGTCTAAGTTTACTATCGAGAAGGATGCGATGTGGCTAGAGTATGACAAGTTTGCCAGTAAAGTGGGTAATATATCTTTGGAGTGAGCTTTGATTTTGGTGCAATTGAGGGACTACAAGGCAAACTTAGCAGCATTGGAAAAGTCTGTGTTTAAAGAGCATATGCGTGGTTTCTAAAGGGCTATTTGTCCAATGGCATTTTTTGCCCCAAATTTCCTTGTAGCAAGCTAAATGTTGATTTCGACATTATTGATGGGAAGCTTGTGAATGAAGCTAACATCCCTGATGCATAAGAAGATATGTTCATGGCTTTTGAGGATGTTTGGGTTGTTGAGGACCATTTGGGAAGGCTCCTAGGGTTTTTTCTTCTACTGAGGAAGGTGCTATCACTATCAGTGTGACTTTTGAGGAGAAAGAAAATTGTGGTAATGTTGCTACTGAGGGTACCAAGGGAGTTTAGGGGTAGATGGTGAGCTCTTTGCTTTAAGGATGTCATTTCATATTTTCTTTTATTTTTGTAATTGAACAAGGGTTTCGTATTTTCTTTAAATGCCTTGATGATTGTTTATTTTCTTGATATTCCTTATTGTATGATGTTTTAGTGATGTCATGTAATTTATGTTTGTTATGTTGCTTGTGTACAAGTTAGGGGACTTGTAGTT